GGCAGGATTAAAAGTAATCCTGCCGCTCCGTGTACACAGTGAGGGGAGAGCTGTGCTGGAACTCCTGTATTGGAGGTGACAGGTCAATAAAGAGAACCTGAAATAAAAAATTATAAAAAATAAAAAAAAGTAAACGATAATCTAAAAATGTAATAAAGTAAAAAAATACATAAAAATAAACGTTTTAAAAAAATAAAGAAACAATAAAAAAATAAAACTAACCCTGCCGCCCCTGCATCCGGTTGCCATTCTCCGTTGATGGGGGGAGGGTGCATTGCGGAACCTGGCCTTGGGGCGGCAGGGAGAGTAAATCCGGCCCTGTATACGATGCTGTATAGATGGGACATACACTATATTGCCAAAAGCATTGTGACACCCCTCCATCATCATTTCCTGGCTACTAAACATTCCGCGGTCATCTGTTACTGGTATTATAACAAAGTGGAAGCAACTGGGAACAACAGCAACTCAGTCAAACTCCTAAACCTTGTGGACGCCTTCCGAGAAGAGTTGAAACTGTTATAGCTGCAAAGGGTGGAGCCAACCCAATACTGAACCCTACGGACTAAGACTGGGACGCCATTAAAGTTCATGTGCGTGTATAGGTGTCCCTTTATTTTTGGCAATATAGTGACATATATGATGCGGTACAGATGGGACATATATAATGGGGTATAGATTGGACGTATATGATATGGTATAGATGGGACATATGTGATGCGGTATAGATGGGACGTATGTGATGCGGTATAGATGGGACATATGTGATGCGGTATAGATGGGACATATGTGATGCGGTATAGATGGGACATATGTGATGCGGTATAGATGGGACATATGTGATGCGGTATAGATGGGATATATGTGATGCGGTATAGATGGGACATATATGATGTGGTATAGATGGGACATATATGATGTGGTATAGATGGGACGTATGTGATGCGGTATAGATGGGACGTATGTGATGCGGTATAGATGGGACATATGTGATGCGGTATAGATGGGACATATGTGATGCGGTATAGATGGGACATATGTGATGCGGTATAGATGGGACATATATGATGTGGTATAGATGGGACATATATGATTTGGTATAGATGGGATGTATGTGATGCAGTATAGATGGGACATATATGATTTGGTATAGATGGGACGTATGTGATGCAGTATAGATGGGACATATATGATGTGGTACAGATGGGACATATATGATGCGGTCCATACCTGTCAATGCTGCCGGTAGATCTGTTATTATAATAAGGTGGCAGGTACAGAAAACCCCACCCACCAGAAGCTCCACCCACTGCTGCTAAATGGGCAGGACAACTGTCAATCAACCAGCATTGCATTAGATGGAAGTAAAGCTAACCAAGAGAGACGTGAACATAAGTCACAAAGTCACATAAGCCAGCCGTCATTCATGTGCCCCTTTATAAACCCTGGAGGGGGGGGGTTGTTTACATTTT